CACAGGCACTAAGTTACCCGGCCTAGTACCGTACCGAGAGCTGTGCATTCATCTCAGCCAGGTTAGCACAACTGACAACATTCAAGGGGGGTCACCCTTCCACTATACTGAGAGCCGTACCGGTGAAAACGGAGAAATACAACGACGGTAGAACTGAGTCGTTTTCACCTCGGCAGTATAAGAGGTTAACCCAGGGCAACATCCCTGAGCTGATAATATCGGTGTTAGATATAAATCATAATCCCGTGAATATAGGATACCTCAGCATAACGCTGCACATAAAATGACCAGCGCACAAGGTCCTGGAATGAAGTTGAAAAAATGCATCAATGTGGGGATCTCCGACCTCGGGGACACACGCGGATTCGACGACCCCGGAGTAGATGGTAAATTGTATGCTTTGCAACTGAAAAACAGCATTTACAAACGCGTTGAAGTCCCCTCCAATGGTGGTACTAGCAACCTAAGTGATATAGTAGATACCTCAAGAGCGGTTGTCAACACTCGGTACACCCTAGTCCGCACCGGTGATGATAAATGGATGATATACCCATCGTTCGGGGGCAAACTGTTCGACTTAACCGATGTTGAGAGCACTACCGTCGCCCGAAATAAGCCATATACACTCGTCTTCACCGATGATGACAAGTGGGTGTTGTTACCCGATAAAGCCGACTGGTTTCTCAATATTAGGCTCGGCTCCCCCCTATGTGTTCACGGATAACAAAGACAACCACCTAAACAAAGTCGTGAACAACAGAACCCTGCTCGTGGCTTACGTCCCGACTCAGAGACGTAGCGTAGTCATCAGCCCACTCGCCAGTATGGCAGCCCACATGCTATCGAGTAAAGCGGGCATGCAAAACGTGGTATTGCAGTTGGTGTCTGAATTCGAAGGTGTGGTCAATATCCTGGAGAGTCTACCAGCGAACTCAACACTGGTCATCCAAGTCTACCTAGGGGAACCTTCGCAGGATGATGTTGAAATCGTGAAGGGGGTCAAACTCCGGTGGGGGAAACAACAACAGTATCACGTTTGCAACATTTACATGCGGGTGGGTGTCGACTCCAAAACCAGTCTGCAGGGTGTCACCGTGATCGTGGAAGACACTATATCACTAATCAAGATCTTCCTACCCGACAACATACACTTCATGGGGGTGAAGTGCACCCCTGAACTATTATCAGAAAACCAGTTGGAAATTATATCGTAATAGTATTATAGCAATGTCTTGGCTTCACCCCAACACTACGATTAACGACCTAGGTGATACGGAGGGATTCGATCAACCTGGTGAGGAAGGCACCTTATACATCCTGCACTTCAAAGACAACGTATATGTTATCAGATGTTAAAGAGCCTGAATGGTTACTCAACTTAACCCTCACCGCACCTTATATCACCTTGAGACAAGATGGTACTATCTCCGAGATTAAGAACAACGGCATAATTATAGGAGCGTTCGTTCCGGACCCCAGCGGCTTAGTTCTGCCAGGAGGAGCGTTCGTTCCGGACGACTCTGTATATATCGCACCAATACCAAACCACTCGGGCAACATGTTAACTTCCAGGGAGAAGGTGAAGACAGAGATCAAATTACTTGATCACCAAGAGGTCTTTAGAAATGTCGCGGAAAACTTCACATTCATCATAGACGTCTATCTCGGAGATACCCCGATTCCTGGGCATCTTAACATTATAGATGATATGGTGATACAGTGGGAAGACAGGTGTAATAACCAACGTTGCCGTATTATTAAGGTATCGGGAAACGACCCTGTACCAAGTCTTGAGGGGGTTCGTCTCTTTAATGGGAGTAGAGCTAAGACCCCGCTTTTTTACACGTACGCTAATCTAAGTATTATCGGCTTTAAGTACATTAATCGAAGGTTAAATAAAACCCAATTAAAATATATTATAGGGTTGAGCTATATCCCTGAACTAGTACCAGAACACTAGTTGGAAACTAGATCATAATAGCATACCCGGATACCCAATTAAAAAATATTTTATCAGATATATTATAGGCACACAGAATGGGGCTATACCCAGTCGTAGAGGAAGTAGCGAAGACCCTGGAAACCGTAGACGGGTTCCGTTTGAGGCAGTTATGTGATGTGAAACGCCAACTAGAACAAGACCGCGACACGCGTAAAGCACTGTGTAAGAAGTACCATAGAGCTTTCAATATCAAGGACGGGTCTGACACTGCCCTTATGGCAACCAGCATGGGACTGGGAGCGGCAGGTGTTGGGTTGTTAGCTACCATCGTGGCTGCCCCCCGTAGTGCTAGGCATTGAAATAACAACTGGGGTGGCAGGGGTGTTAGGGTTGGTGCTTAAGTTTGCATCACGCAGACTGCATCGTAAGGCATTGAAACACGATGAGATCAGAGTTCTGGCTGAAGCAAAGCTGAACACAGTAAGTGAGCGTATTTCCACGGCACTCACTGACAGTAAGATCTCAGAGGAGGAGTTTCGTTCAATCCTCTCTGAACTCACAAAATATAACAAAATGAAACAAGAGATTCGATCCAAGTCTCGTAAGTCTGCTATCAGTGAGGATGAGAAAAAAAAGTACATAGAACAAGGGGTGAAAAAAGCCCAGCAAGCCTTTATTACAAACACCAAAGAGATCATAGGCGATTCACATTAAACTGTTTCATTGAGGTAAACATGGCATAGCGGCACAATAGTGTCATAGCGGCACGTTAGACGCAGCCCAGTATTGGATGATGCAATCCCAGGATAGACCCGTTAAACCAACATACTTCAACCATATCCCCGGTAGCTCAGTTGGTTAAATGGTGCGGCTAGGAGTTGTAACATTGGGCGTTCGTATCCCGCTATCGTCCCAAACTTTTTTATAGTAGGGGTAATGGTAGCAAGAGCTAAGGGTCCGACCAAAGCCTTACTTGTGAAATAAGGCTTTGCAGAGGCTTTGGTTGGAACTGGTCCAAAACCCCCATTGTATATACTACTGATTGTTTTGGAACTCATTGGAATGTTCAAGAAGCTGTCGACCATCGGATTGTGCATGTCTGTTGAATGGTATGAAGTGATGAACAGCATGCAAGTTGGTAGACTGCTCCAAAATGGCAAATTGTAATGACAACCATGATGATGACGACAATGATCATGATGATAGTCAGTAACCACCCACAGCAATCAGCAAAGAATCCTTAAAATTAATGTGTAAGCCTTATTACATTGTAAAGCTCATGACTCATGAAGTAATTCAATATCTTCATATCAACATCTCTTTCAATATCATTTGTTGAGATTTTGTGAATATTTGGTATTTAGAGCAAGGTATTTCGTAGGAGTTAGTGAAGGAGTATGCTTTACATCGCTTTTAGCAGGGCGGGGAACACCAGAAATGGGCTTCACACATTGTACCCATATGGGGAATTGAGCGAACACTTTAACCTCTAGGCTGTATTTGGAAGGAAGCACAATCAATTTAAAAACATGAACATTTAAACCTTAAGACAGAACCATAATGTTTGAATGTACTGAATCTGTAATCTACAGAAATAAATTCTGTATGTCCAAGAAAGTTAATCTTATGTATATTTTTTTTAAACAGTTTTTCAAATATAAATATATGCAATGATGTACAAATCCTTGCAGTTAGATATAAAAATATGTGAAATTCAATACTGAACATATTTTACTCTAACATAACCTTCTTCAAGCTTTCAGTTTGAACTGGGTCATTGTTTTCAGGCGGTGAACGGCTGTCATTTAGTGAAAAATGGGACCTGCGTCATAAACCTGATTAAAAGTACATTAAATTAAAATTTGAATATTAAATGGAAACAAATCTATACTTAGAGACATAGGCTTTCTAATTTGTCTAGTTCTCCTATTAGTGATCATTATTTTCCCCCGAAAATAACAAAATATCTGCATTTTTTGGGGAAAATCCTATTTTGTCATACATATTTCCCAATTTGTAAAAACTAATCATGCTGAACCCCCACAAATTACACATCAAATTGTGGGAAATTGAATACTGAACATATTTCACCAATATTTCTATGTCTAATGCTTATAGTTTTAGCTGTAGCATTGTTTTTGTAGACAGATGGTCCGGTTCAAGATAATGGCAGCCATCTTTAAAGATGGCCGCCAAAAACCTATTTAGCAGGGATGGGAGGTGTCCATCACGTGATTTCATAAAGTACATGCCTTAAACTATATGAAAATCATATTGACTGTTTTGGCCTCAATTTGGTAGTGAAATCTCATCTGGCGCATGGACAACTAAGGAACATCAGACAGATTAGCAGGTACATGGACACACCATCAGTAAAATGCCTAACCAATAATTTGTGACATCACGTCTAGACTACTGCAACAGTCTACTCTATACAATACAGCAGTACATGGACAAGTTACAGCGTGTTCAAAACACAGCTGCCAGGCTCATAACACGCACACATATGTATGTGCACATAACACCAGTCCTGAAGGACTTACACTTGCTCCCTGTAAAAGACAGAGTTCTTGTGTTTGTTTTCAAGTCCATTAATGGGATTGCTCCATTCTATCTCCAGGAACTAGTCAACCTTCACAAGCCTGGAAGGTCACTCAGATCAGCTAGTCCGCAAAGCTTAGATGTTCCACCTGTCCGAACCACAACATACAGGAACAGAACATTTAGCAGAGCGGGTGCTGTACTCCGGAATGGATTACCTGAAAATATCAGAAAATCGGAAAATATCAACAGTTTTCCGATTTTGTCTCAAAATCATCCTCTTCAAACGAGCTTTCGACTAAGCGCACATGAACAGGACTCTGGATATGTAGCGCTACACAAATGTCTAATTTGATTGATTTGACACCAGACATGTATTATATGAAATAAATCCATTGTCACCGATCACCGTAAAATAACAATGTCCTATAAACTCTGAGTGTGAGCCAATGTACAGAGAGATATGAGGGCAGCAAGCACATATGTAAATAAGGAAGGATGCCTCACATGCGCGTTACAAAGAGAGACCCAGTCACTCAAGATCATGTCAACCAAAATGGCGATTAAACTCGTTGAAGCTCAGCTGGAACAAATGCTGGAGGTACTCAAGACATCTCACAGGTGGATTAAGGTGACGTTGATGTATTAACTCACCTGGTGATAGCCCTTTGCATGATCTGCCGTCAGTATCTAGTCCTAATAACTGTGACAGATACCGGCTTGTAACATAAACAAGCCTTCGTCAAATAGGTCGATACCGAGGGAGAGTATGGTTTATACAGAGAAGATGACTTGTCCCGTTCTCGTTTCAGATTGTGGGAGAAGTGGAAGCCGCACTGGAACACCGTATAACAGATTACGAATTCGTTGTGGACAGATGGCCGGATTGCAGGGCGATGGTTGTTCGTGCGAAGGATAATGACATTCAGGTATTTCACGGTTTTGTCAGTGTAAACATAAAAGGTTTAACAAGGTTAAACAAATTTCTATCCTACACTGCCTCTATTCCTAGGTACCTTTGCATGACAGTTTAGCTAAATTAAATAACTTGATAATTAAATACCTTCCATACACCTCTAAATTGTTACATTGTCAATTCACAATTTGCTCCCAAGTGCTGATTCTGGGAAGGGTTACATTTTTTACAATACAACCGACACTTCCCAATAAATTCAAATAATTCAACTGTGACAAAGATGCTGATGTAGCAATTCAGAAAGGAGCGGTGGGTAGCCTAGTGGTTAAGGCATCCGCTCGTAACGCTGATGGCCCAGGTTCGATTCCCCACATGGGCACAATGTGTGAAGGCCATTTCTGGTGTCCCCCGCCGTGATATTGCTGGAATATTGCTAACAGCGGCGTAAGCCTAAACTCACTCTCACTCACTTCAATTCGGGTAAATGGTTTATAACATATGGCTGTCAACAGCTGAAGTATCTAGAGCCGATTGTGAACCTGTACGCTACTGACGACGAAGCACTGAGAGGCCTTCTACACAACCTGGATTGGTCCAAGGGGAAACAATTTGAATGTAAGGCATATGAATATATCGTGTTACATTTCTCTTCACTGGGGGTATTGGAACCGTAATATGTTCATTATATTTCATATATTATTATGTTTGTTTGTTTGTTGTTGTTTAATGAGCACTCAGCACTATTCCACCTATATACGGCGGTCTGTAAATACTCGAGTCTGGACCAGACTACACAGCGATCAACAGCATGAGCATGGATCTATGCAACTGGGATACGATGACATGTGTCTACTTAAAGACTCAACAAAGTCAGCGAGCATGACCACCTGATCCCGTTAGTCGCCTCTTACGACAGACATGGATTGCTAAATACTAATTATAACCCAGACCATCAGCGGTCCATTATATTCAACGGACGTACTTATCCTGACGCGTTTCTGAGCTGGATCAATATCTGATCCCTGTAAGATACATTTGTCATATACTCTTAAAACAAGTAGGGGAACCTGAACTCTCAATTCGGATAGGAAGTATAAGCGTTAACAAAATGTTCAAAGACAGACATCTAATGAACGCACCACCATTTCTCTTTATCACCACCCCTAAACACAACGAATAGGCAGCACGTGCACAACGCAGTAGTCCCATACACGTACACGGGGTTTCATTCTTGATTTGACGGTTTTCAAGAAAGTCGATAAATCACTGGAGACCATTAATTTTGACAATCAGCCAGCATCACTCAGGTGTTAGTGTTTGTTTCTAGCCGGGTTTTGTTTTTGGTTACTTTAAAAATGAAAATCGTACACATGCAAATTTTATGTCATACACCAGTCATCTTTCAAGAGCGATTACTGCACAAACAACCTTAGTTATAAGGAAGTGCAAGTGGTGATGCACTCTCAAAACATTCATTATTATCATATCAACTTTGATTGACAGAAATATATATCTCAAATGTTTAAATCGTAAATTAAATATGAAGTTCCCCTACTTTTATTCAGAGTATATTTATAGGAGATGTCCGATAACACGGGCTTATTATAGGAGATGAAGGTCTGCCCTGATAAACTTAAAAACGTATTCAATTTGTAAACATGATACAGTTTATGAATGAATAGAATAGAATAGAATAGAATAGAATAGAATAGAATAGAATAGAATAGAATAGAATAGAATAGAATAGAATAGTTTTCAGAGTTCGGTATAATGGGATTGTGTATCATTTTTCTTTATGTATACTCAGGGGAAGATATTTTTTTATTGACATAGAATTGTTCCTTTGGTATACTTGTGAATGGATGTTTGGATTTGTACAAGGGAAACAGTGTCTTAAAACAGTGGAAGAAACGTGAGCGGAGAAGACGTCCCTTCACCGACGAGTACGTTTCCTTCTTCACCGAGCTGACGACAGGAGGATTGTCTAGGCGCACATGTGAACGTTACATCAGCCCATGTACATATATGTACATGTATATACATATGGTTCTGAAATTTGGGGTTTTCATCCCTCACCAAATATACAAAATATTCATGACAAGTTTTGTTAGCAAGTACTTCACCTCTCTGTTACTACCCCGAATATCATTGCACGTGGTGAAATAGGTCGCTATTCTTTGAAGGTTAATACTATAAACTTGTGAAATACTGGACTAGGTCAATAAGTCAAGATAAGTATATTATTTTGTAAAAAGTATATAAATATCAGTATCGTTTAGCTGAAAAGAATCTTGATTCTCTTCAGCTATGGTTTTGGAAATGTTTGGGTTGATCAACAAACTAGAAATGTAAACAATTTCCTTATACAATTTCAACAGAGGTGTATTGCTATTGATCTTCAAAGGTGGGCCTCAGATCTTGAAAATATACTAAACTATATTTTGTCAGACAGTTAAAAATGACTGTCAGAAGAATATTGTAAATGTGATGGTATATTGTATTACCCTTTGTAGATTGCGCTGTTCAAATCATATGTTAATGATTGAATATGGAAGCCGTTTAAATCTTGCACGAAACGAACGTCTTTGTCCCTTGTGAGTTATTCCTAATCCGAATAGAATTTTTCCCTTAAATGTCCGTTGTATCAAGATCTGAGAGCATCTCTCATACCACGTTTTTATTATGTATATTCCTCTGAAAACAACTTAGCCCTACTGTTTACTTCTCAAAATAATATTGATATAAACAACCTTGCTAAATACATATTTTTAACTACGAAATACGTACGAAATATTTTACATCATGCTGATCTTGTGTTCACATCTCTGTATACAATTATACCTCTGTGTCCATTCCGTCACTTTTATGGCGCTTTTATTGCGCTTCATGTTATATTTTAAACCTTCTGATATGTATGGTGAAAAACCACACATATCTAAATGAGGCCATGTGTTCTCGAAGGGGGTCGTTTTGGAGGTGTGGGCGTCATGCTTTTGGGTGGGATAACAGTTCCAGCAAGAACGCCAATGATCTTGATTGGGGGGAAAACTTGCTTGACTGGGATACCTTTTTGGGCACAGAACCTCCATGGAGTAACTTTTCAACACAATAACGCCAGACTACACGCTGTTTGACTTGTACAGCCTTATCCTATTCAGAATAATGTTAATGTGCTACCTTGGACCGCAAGATCATCTGATTTGTCACCCACTAGGGTGAAATGTAGCAATGTGTACGACGGATATAAGTGGATATGGATCCTTGGATATGGAATGATCTTCCCGAGGACTTTCGCCGACGTTTAGTGGCCTCAATGATGCGAGGATGCAATGCCTGCATCAATGCAACAGGTGGACACACTCGCTACTGACCATGTGAACCTGCTTGTGACGCTCCCCTCTCACCTCTTATGTTGTGGCTCAGTTACATATTCCATGAAATAACAATTTCATTCGCGAGAATCTTGAGGCATGGTGAAATGGCGTTTAATATTGCTATCTAGATTATTGCATTTTTTACAGTCACGTGCATACAACAGGCCTCATATATGAAACCTGCTTTCACTTTATCAGGTGTGGACCGACGTCTAGTGCCAGTTCTGTCAGAAGTGATTCAACTCTACCGGGTACCCACCTCTCACCACACTGACCTTACGTTCCTGAGGGTCACGCAACATACACTGAAGCTCAGGTATATTTATACCAAAGATCACTTGAGCTTGGTAGGCGTAGCCTCTTAAAACATATTGTTGACAATTCTGATCTATTAATACTAACCGTGACAGGGTAAATGGTAAATCTGTCTTCATAATGATGCTTCAGAGATACAACTGTCAGCATTAAAATTCAAAAGGTCTTTAAATTTAAATAGTAAACTAAGTTTTATAGCGAACGCACTTATAACGAAATGATATTGCGAACTGTTTTATTGCTACCTGCCACTTGCTGCATATTTTAATCGAAGTGCTTAGAACAAACTATGGTTATAACGAACTAAAGATGTGGTCCCTTTGAATTCGTTATAACCGCAGTTTACTATATGTAGATACGTCAAACGCCGTTTTGTTCATCTTTGATGTGTCGAACTGTTCTCTCGAAGTAAAAGCTTGGTCCCTGCATGTCCTTTTTTATCGGTTATGTCGATAGGTTCTAGACAATTCGGATAACTCGAAGTTTGCGAATATATGATAATCATTGTTGTCAAAGGCCCATTCCTGAGGGCTGTACCATGTCCAGCCTAGCAACAGACCAAGTTACTCGGGTGAATTCCAAGTGGGTACTACGCAGTGGGGACGTGTCCGAAGCCTACATCAAGCACTTAATAACCACACTTCCTTCCACGTGTCTGTACAACCGGGAGGGGGCGCTGCTAGGATACGCCCTCACCTATCACTACGGGTGTCTGGGGGTGCTGTACGTGCTGGAAGAACACCGAGGCAATGGGTACGGAAAGGTTGCCATGTCCCAGCTCGCTCTAAAACATCTGCAGAAAAAGAAAGAGGTGTTTGTCATGATACAATGTGTCAATGTAGCGTCTATCAAGATGCACGAAGCCATTGGGTTTGAGGTTATTCCAGATACGTCATTTGATTGGATATTTTGTGATGACTAAAGTGCATATCAAGGATCTGTCAGTCTGTTACTCAAACAATACAGAATGCACGTATGTGCATCTGTGATTGGAGAGAGTCAAATAAAGACATACTGAATTCAAAACGGCTTTTCTCTTTGTTGATAAAGAATATCGATTATCCGACGAAACACATTTCAAAATAGCGGTGGAAATTGTATGAATGGATCAGTGACAATCAGCAGGGTGACACCAGGTGTTAGCGGGAAGGGTTGTCATGCCCTGTCCTGTCGATATAATGGTATAGCCTGTTTCGGTAAACATGATATCGATGAATCACTGACTGACTGACTGACTGACTGAGTTTGGTTTTACGCCGCTTTTAGCAATATTCCAGCAACATCACGGCGGGGGACACCAGAATGGGCTTCACACATTGTACCCATGTGGGGATTCGAACCCGGGTCTTCGGCGTGACGAGCCAACGCTTTAACCACTAGGCTACCCCACCGCCCCTCGATGAATCACAATCTAACACCAAATCGGTTCATGATCAAACATTCATTTAGAATGTCTCCATAACGCTTGTCTCCAAAACAAAACAAATTACTTAACAAACTATCATCATTTTGTTTTGATTTTCCGTGTGAAGTTAGACCGCCTCCGTGGTGTAGTGGTTAGAGCGTCCGCCCGGGGAGCGGAAGGTCGCGGGTTCGATCCCCGACTGCGTCATACCAAAAGACGTTAAAATATGGTACTTGTTGGTCCCTGCCTGGCGCTCGGCAATAATGGGTACAACAAGGACTTGTCGGCTCGGAGTCTGAGTGGGGAATTTATGCTTCACTGCGGCATAAAACCAGCTTCAGTCTGGGCTAGTACAAGCAGCCACACATACACATACACACGCAAGCACGTCGTCATATAAGCGAAATATTCTCAAGCACGACATTAAACCAAAGTTTACCTCACCTCACCGTGTGAAGTATCACAAGGGTAAGGTAACAGTAAACTGTTGCAGGAACAGCCTCAAGGGCGGGAAGCACGTGCTACGTAGGATGTCAACATTTAGGGGTTGTATCCAAAGTCTTCCGGACTGGATTCTGAGGAAATTCCTGATTCACTTTCACTGCTCTTAGATTGTACACTTACGATGACTGGTTGAATGGTGGCATAATCTAAACCACTTTTTATCTAGAACTGATTCTCTATTTCATTTTCAACTTTCTGTACATGGTTTTGCCAGATTGCTGGTGTTATTTTAGTTGGAACGTGGTACTGTTGCGAACCACATCAGATATTATGATACCCTAGATATATTCTGTTTGATTGAGATGGCGAGGCGATAAACATAACGCTTCATGAACATGACTACCAGTTGTCCGACTTCCACTTTTGTGGAAGCCGCGGTGGCTGAGCGGGTTAGGCGGCTTACTTTGTGTGCTGGCGATTAGGTGCCTGACTCTGAGGGTGTGGGTTCGAATCCCGGATGGGACTCAACCCAACAAAAGTACTAGAATTTGTACTTTACTAAGAAAGTGCAATCCCAAATATACTGAACATCATTGAAAACGCACCACCTGTATTAGTTTGGATATCCAAGAGCATAAATGAGCAATCGGTGTAAATTTTACATTCTTTTGTAGTCCAATGATTGGTAAAGAAAAGAAACAAGAACCAATCCAGCAGAACAGTGAAGTTTTAATTCAGCTGACAAAAAGAAAGATGGAGTCAAATTGGAAAGTCAGTAACGTGTATGACCACCGTTAGCAGCAACACAAGCTGTGCAAGGTCTCCTCATTGAACAGATAAGTCTCTGAATAATGTTTTGAGGCAATGCATTCCACTCTTGTTCCCCAAGGTTGTTGATCTGTGGGCGACGTGAGAGGCGTTGGCCGATGTAATCCCACAAGTGTTCAATGGGAGACAAATCTGGTGACAATGCAGGCCATGGAAGTAGAGGAATGTTGTTGTTTGCCAGAAACTGTGTTGCAACACGTGCAGTGTGCGCTCGAGCATTGTCCTGCTGGAATGTGTGCAGATTTTGATGTTGGTTAAAGAAGGGATCGACGTTGTTCTGAAGAATGGTGTCACGCTAGTAAAGGGCATTCACTCTGCCACGACAAACAACCAGAGCAGTTTTGTGATGATAACTGAAATCTCCCCACACCATAATGCTTCCTCCACCCCACCGATCCGTTTGCACAACACAGTCCTGATGGTAACGTTCTCCCCGTCGACGCCATACCCGTAGACGCCCGTCAGCATTTCGCAAGTGAAAACGTAACTCGTCGGAGAACACAACACCATGCCAACGTCGTAACAACCACAAACGATGCTGTTCAGCCAATCGTCGGCGTTCACGGCTATGTCTATCAGTCAGGATGGGTCCAACATAAAGGTGTCGACACCTGCAACATGCCCAACGCCCGTTCTCGTTCCTCTGGTGACAATCTTGGCATTGCAAACTTTACTTGCGGAGGTACAGCTAAAATGAGAACGTTTTTTTTTCCGACGGTCATTTATACCCCTAATCAGCATGTTTTACGCATGCAATTTGTGCTTTTCGTGTGTGTTGTGCATGACTTTTGTTGTTGTCATGTGATGTTCAGTATATATCATATGTTACATTTGACCACTTTCTAACTGGCCTTGTGTAATCACTGCTGTTGGATGTTGGATCTTTTGCATCTGGATCCTGCACACTATGATGTGGAGCGTTGTCCATAACAACTAAACTTTTCTGAGGATGTGCTGGTACCAGTTGTTTTTTCACCCACCCAGAAAACTTCCCCATTCATTTCAGTGTGGATATCTCTGTTGTCTGGATTTCGCCTTGAACACGAGTGAACAATCAGGCAGAAACCCCACACTTTTACAACCTGCGTTTAACACAATGTGTCGCTCACCCTTGCCCAAAAGCAGTTTCCTGTTACATGGTTCTGTAGAGGAGCTATCTACCCATTGTTTGCTTGCAGTGTGGCCGACGTTCACCCATGTTTCGTCCAAAAAACACTGGTTCGAATCCTTCTTGACATTTTTGTCTGATAGTGCGCAAGTATGTGTTGCGTAATCGCACGATGTCAGCTCTTTCACAAAGCACCCGCCTGTTTTCCCCACTTACCTCTTTGTAACGAAACCCAAATTCATGCAAAAGTTTCTGTAACTGATATTTACATATAGTCAACGAATGTTCTGTATCCATGTGTTTTTGCAAAATGCATAAGGAAAGGAAATCAATATATTTTTGCCATAAAGCCTTCTAATAGCATTTTTTACTAACTCTTTCTGAAAACAGTCAAGTGTGTCAACTTTCAAAAGTGGAGTTTTTGATACAACCCCCTCAGTTGTGCCTGACTCGGTTGTCTCAATAAAGTTTTCAATTGTCTTTCAGACAACCCAACTGCACATGCAGTGCGTTGAACAAATTTACATAGGGCATGTTTAAGGCGACCCTTTTCACTTTCGCCTTTAAAAAAGATAATAAACTACTTGATGTCAAAGGTGAATTTCATTGTTCATGCACCGTGTCAATAACTCGATTGGCTATGCTTGATGAAACGTCACAGTTACACGTGTTTCCCGCCCTTGAGGATGTTCCTACAACAGTTTACTGTTACCTTACCCTCGTAAAACTTTACACGGAAATTCTAAACAAAATGATGATAGCTTGTAAAGTAACTTTTTTATTTGGGAGACAAACTTTATGAAACTTTTTTCAGGAGCTGGTCTGATGTTTTCATTACATTCTGCGTTGAAAGGATTGTTTGATCATGAACCGATTTGGAGTTAGATTGTGATTCATCGGTTTCATTTTGACCCAGAGAGACTGTAAGTACGTATCTAACTGTGGAATATATTGAACACATGTACATATATACTTTTATTTCTCCAAGGGAGAGTTTGGTACATAATACGTACTATGACGTTTAAGTATTTACACAATAAACATTGGCATAAAAGCATGCATTACGTGAGGATTGTAATTTAAGAGCGTTGGTTTGAGATTTTTATAAGTGGGTAAAGATATTTTATCACAGTCTTTGCAAAAAGTTCGCATGTCTGTTGGTCTGATGTGATTGGTGGTGTGCAGGGCAGCAGGCAGGTGACAACGTCCACATCCTGGTTCTCATGGAGCCTGACACTAAGCTCAATGGGCCCTATACAGCTGATGTTTCTGGTTGTTGCACATTTGTCCAAAGAAGAGCAGCTTCTTCTCATCAATGTGCGACTCTAGCGATGACCATCCTAGAAATGCACTGCATATATCCGTTCTTGTGTGTCGTGGTAACCCTTGGACCAGCTTCAGAGCGAACCCCTAAGCCCTTTCTAAAGCAAAGATTTCTGGGCGTGAGATGCTATTCCCAAGTTCACATCCAAATAGAGCTTTCGGGAGGCATACTGAGCGTAGGAGTTTTGATGATGTCAAAGGGTTTAGGCCTTTTGCATGACAGCCTGATTTGGTGAGCACCATGATGGATGACTTTAACTTGGAACAGCTGTCTAATGTTCTTTCCCAGGAGTTGAATTGGGCGTCAAGAATATTTCCAACATTTTTAATCTCTGTAGCCGGGGGCACAACATCATGGTAGAGCTTTATCTCTGGTTTACTTTTGTTTTTCTTTCCAAACTGCAGGAACTGTTGGGGAGAAGGTAAACCTCCACAGGGAGCTGTATTCCTGGCAGTTGTCGACCATATGCTGCAGGTTGGACTTGATTGGGCTCAGGAGGGCAATATCGTCCGCTTGTGTGGGTCTACGACGTGTAGATCCATAACCATAGCCCCTTTCTTACTCTGGTCTAGGCGCCGACGCAGTGCGTGTATATAGAGCAAGTAGACTTTGGGAGACATCACACTTCCTTGCCACACCCCTCTGTGAAGTTGGAACCAGTATGATCTCTCATTGTTGGTAGCTACACAGCTTGTCATGGATTTGTACATGTTGTCAGTGACTATCCATAATGCACTGTGTATGCCAAGCTTGTGAAGTTTGTATAGCAGCCTTGGGGCTGTCGAGGAAGCATGTTTACAACATCGGATATGTCTAGATAGTGGTGGTTTCCTGGACAACAAAGCTCGTGTGACAAGATGAAAGGCCTTTCTGGAATCCACCAAGGGGTGACAAACGGCTGGTGGAACAGTACCAGCACACATTCAGGTGCAGCTCAGCACAGCCAGGTGAGATGACCCCAGCCAATCAGGCGCTGTTTTATCAGCCCCTGGTTCGAGGCGTGATAATAGCACAATATTACATGATATGATGATTTTTCCGTGATCGATCAAAAAAACGTCAGATTTCAGATCCTGTTGTGTACAGAAGTTTCAGGACCATGTGTCTTATTGATGTTTTGTGCACTCATCCCAATTTCGTCTTATTTAATCATTTGTCGTTCTCATTTGAACCCAAACGGACTCTATCTGGGTAATTACACTGGACTTGAGTTTCATGTTCAAATGAATCTTTGAAGCGAGTTGCTTTCGATGCTGGAAATTTCCTCCTGGAGTCACAATTAACTTTAAAACTTATATATTTTTTTTTAAAAAGCGTTATATTTGAGTTTCTTGCTAAAATATCGTTTCAGCAATTGTGTAACATTATTTGACGTGGCAAACGTTAATGAGACAGATATTCGATCAGTGACCATCGACACTTTGGGGTAACTAATTAATGCCTAATAACTAATGCTTCTTAGATTTATGTAGCATTTTAAATATACATATTGTGAATGGCAGATGTGGTAAAGAATTTAAATTAGGGGATTTTACATTTATAGGTACAAATGGCACAAGCGTCATAGACTATGTCTTAGCTTCTGCACATTTATTTGACAAAGTGCTAGATTTTGCTATACCCACTAAAGCAGAGTCCTCTCACCTCCCGTTAACCTTAGATTTACGTGCGCATCACCCACCAGTACAGCCAAAGACTATGAGTGGTAAATATAAATCTGATCAAGAAGCATACAAATTTGTTTGGAATAGCAAGATGTTGTTGCAATTCAGAAATAATCTACTATCGGATGATATACAAGACTTATTTGATAAATCTGTTGATGTAGCATTCACTGATATAAGTCAATGTGTAGATTATGTCGTAGAAGCATTGTGTCTAGCTGCTTTTGATATGAAAAGACGGATACGCCCCTTTTCAGAAAAACATAATACTAATATCTGGTATGATGAAGAATGGAATCATTTAAAAAAAGAACGGTGTAAATGTCTTAACTCCTTCCGAAAAGATAAAACCTTGCAATCCCTGGAGAGATATCACAAAGCTAGAAACAGATATAATACAACCTGCAAGGAAAAGAGAAAGGCATTTATGGAACAGAAAAGAAAAAACCTAGAAAATAATATAAATGATGCCAAAAAATTCTGGTATGAACTTGAACCACTAAATCCTAAGAAAAGCCAAAAGAATAACATTGAAATCGACGAATGGTTTAATTACTTTCAGTCATTATTCTCTACCTCTGATAACAACCCAGATCCAAATAGACAAGACTATGTGAACGATACTGAGTCTTCTCATATTACAGGTGTAGCCACCGACATATTGGATGCCCCAATAAGTAGAGATGAAATACTTAACAGTATACAGCATCTAAAGTGTCATAAGTCACCAGGAGTAGACAACATCCTCCCGGAATTTTTCAAACATTCATCTGATCTTTTACTTCCATATCTTGAGCTTATTTTCAATATTATCCTCGACACTGGGAACTTTCCTGAATCTTGGTCAGGTGGCATTCTTGTTCCAGTCTATAAACAGGGTGACCCTAAAGATACCAATAACTACCGTGGAATAACTCTACTTAGTATATTTGGCAAGTTATTTACTTACATTATCAACAAAAGATTAGTTAAATGGACTGACGTCATGGATCAGATATACGAGGGTCAAGCGGGCTCCAGGGAGGGATATACAACAACAGATAATATCTTTATACTGTATAGCCTAATACAAAGATACATAAGCTCAAAAGGTGGAAAGTTCTACGCTCTATTGGTTGATTTTGCAAAGGCTTTCGATTCTGTGCAGCGGGATAAACTATGGAGACTGCTACAATCGCACGGTCTTAGTAGTAAAATGAATAAGTGTTGAAGAGTATATACGAAACTGTTAAAGTGTGTGTAAGGAATCAGCATGAATTATCTGAACCTTTCATTAGTGAACTAGGTGTTAGACAAGGCTGTATTTTAAGCCCTTTCCTTTTTACGTTTTTCATTAATGAATTAGCAATACAAATATGTGACACATGTACGAATGGGATTCAACTACACCCAGATACAATACAACTATTTCTGCTACTCTTTGCCGATGATATTCTACTATTCTCTAGTACTGTTAGCGGTTTACAGAAACAAATAGATGAATTAGACAAATTTTCTGACCAATATAAATTGTGTGTAAACAGAGACAAAACCAAAATTATCGTCTTTAAGAAAGGTGGAAAGCTCACTAAATTAGAAAAATAGTATTATAAAGGGCAACTACTCAAAACTACCAGTGTTTATAAGTATCTTGATGTATATGTGTGTAATAGTCTTTCCTGGTCCAAACACACAAAACAAGCGTAGGCACAAGCCTTGAAAATCTTAATCGGTGTTTGTAAAAAATATGAGATCGTTGGGTGAAATGTCCTTTAACACATTCTTTAAAATATTCGATATGAAGATAAGTCCAATACTTCTATATGGTTCTGAAATATGGGGATTACAACAATATGACAGTATTGAAAGAGTTCATTTATATGCATGCAAAAAGTTTCTTGGTGTAAAACCGAACACATGTAATAGGATGGTTTACGGAGTATTAGGTAGATTCCCCTTGTTTATATACTCTTCCATTAAAGCCATAAAGTATTGGGTAAGATTATTGCATATGCCATGCCATAGGTTTCCGAACAAATGTTACGATATGATGAAATTGTATGACGAAAATGGGAAAAGAAATTGGGTGGGTGACATTAGGGAGTTGTTGTACAAAACTGGTTATAGTTATGTGTGGTGTGTTCACAATGTTCAGTTGCATACCAATTTTATCATATCATTTACACAAAGAATGAAAGATATCTATTTCCAGTCTTGGTCGGAATCACTACTTCTATCCACAAAATGTTTATACTATAATCAGTGGAAATCGGACATACGTTTTGAAGACTATTTAGCAAAAATCGGCGTAAAGAAGTTCCGTATAGCTCTCTCTCTCGTTTTCGTTGCTCTTCCCATGAATTATTTATTGAAACTGGCAGGTATGCAGGTATACAAAGAGAAAACAGAATATGTCAGTTATGTAACATGAGTACTGTTGAGGATGAACTACATTTCCTTCTAATCTGTCCTGTTTATACGACTCTACGAACAAAATACCTAAAGCCATACTATTATGAGCATCCAAGTGTAAGAACATTAATTTCGCTATTAACAGATACTACCACATCAATATTACAGAATCTGGCAATGTACATCTATTTCGCTATGAGATTAAGAAAAAGTATTGTTGCAGAAAGAATTTAAAAATGACTTCTATCTACTCATGTAAATTCTAAATGTACTACAGGCCTGTGGCCTTTTTAAGTACTGAAATAAAGATTGATTGAATTGCCCGTGTACATAATACAATAAACTACGACCATAACGAAATAAAAGGGGTCAATATTTAAATTCTTTAAAACCGCAGTTCTTCACCAACACTGCCACACTCGGACATCTTAGGTCGAGTCATGTGTCAAGTATGTGCACTACGTGGTCCGGTGGTTAAAGCATTCGCTTGTCACGCTGAAGACCCGGGTTCGGTTTTACACATGGGCACAATGTTTAAAGCCCATTTCTGGCGTCTCCTGTCGTGATGTTGGAATATTGTTAAAAGTGGCGTAAAACCATACTCACTCACTATTTTAAATCTGTACCCCAACACAGGCACGCGCGCTCACGTGCGTGCTCACGCACACACACAACCATGCGTCCATAGCATCTGACTTAGGTCTGGAAAGCACTGAATTCGTCGTTGTTGCTCAGGGCTAGACGCTTCCTATGACATGAACGTAACCCAATACTAGTATGTCATAACAGTGTGCACCAGCTTTGTGTCATTCGGCTAGTGGTTTGTTGTCGGCAGCTATATGCAATGTATATTAAATGTTTGTTCTGTACATAGTTATATATGGATAAGATAATATGGTTATTCCAATAATGTGTTAATGAAGTTGCATTCAAATACGTAACTGAACCATATTATGGTTGAGATAAGTTGCATCTGGATATTAATTACTGATTTAACAGAACAGAAAACACACATGTTTCAGATGGTGAAACTATCATCGTTTCTAATGATTTTGCAAAATAGACCCCAAAGCCTTTGTCTAATGTTGAACACAGACATATACGTGACATAGAACACTTGCACAAGTCTCTAAGGTAATAATTAATAGTTTAAATGATAATTTCTAAAAAATGTAAATAACAAAATGGCGTCCTCAGTGTACTGTCCGCATATTTAGAAAGCCTCGAAGCAATGTAGCTTTTGTATTTATTACTCACCGGTTGAAGATATCACTGTTTAATAAATCTACAATGTTATTACACATTGTGTAATAACATCACGTGATGCCGGACTATGACGTCATAATGGTTTAACAGTTATGACGTCACAATGCTAATACCTCTGCCACAATGGTATTAATTAGACCTTGCTTGACTCGCGGAAAGCTGAGAGTCATCACACTGTAGCCAGTTTCTGTCAGTTTAAGTTGGAGAGTAATAAACAGAATACTAAACTCGCTTCCGTGAAATACCATTTACATAAAACTCGCTTTCGCTCGTTTGATACCAAATCATTAACTCGTTTAATAAATATGGTATTACACAGAAGGTCGGTTAGTATCCTCTATATATCACAATCGAAGTTGCCCACATACAATCGTTGGGCAACCCTGTGATTGAAGCTTCCACACAACAGGCTGAGAATCCCGTATCTGGGATTAAAAATATGATACTCATTAAATTGCTCCCCGTCTGTTTTGGTGCAACTCAGGGATCGATCGTAGATCAATGCGCTTGATGTCAGTCAGAGTCCAATTGCGGCGTTAAACAATAAATAAACAATTTGTGTACCATGCAGCTGATCATGAGTGGTCTGCTGCTAGAAACAGTAAACCTATCTAGGCCCTACTACTCTCATTATGCAAGTTCTACAAAGCATGAAACGAATTAGTTCATGTCTTCCGTTTCTCATGTACATATGTTCAATATATTCCACAGTATAATACGGTCTAAACAATTATACCGACAGGACAGGGCATCTTTACCCATTTTGCTAACACCCTGGGTCATCGATGATTCTACCATGACATTTAAGTATGTTCGTTTTTGATTGGCTGTTACTAAAAAATTAGAAGTGAAAAATGTTCAATAACCACTTCTGAGAGCCGGTTCACTGCGCGTAGGAATATTTTGCACTCATTAACCCTTACAAAGGTAAACAAACGGTTGTACCCCATAACCCCTACATGCCATTACCCCTACACCCCAGTACCCCTGCAATTAGTTAAAACAAAAGACGGCATTTACCTGGCTGGCATAATGGACTGACCCAAGGAGAGATTAGTGCACAGAGTATACAGATGAGATCAAGGGAGGGGTAAGTGCATAGAGCATACAGATGAGATCAAGGGAGGGGTTAGTGCATAGAGTATACAGATGAGATCAAGGGAGGGGTTAGTGCATAGAGTATACAGATGAGATCAAGGGAGGGGTTAGTGCATAGAGTATACAGATGAGATCAAGGGAGGGGTTAGTGCATAGAGTATACAGATGAGATCAAGGGAGGGATTAATCTGTTGTTTAGTGTCTTGTGTCAAGGAAATTTGGGATTAGCTAAATGTTGTTTTAGTTTCATGATGAAAGATAAACCTCTAGTGAGTAGAACAATTTTACAAATTGGATAGTATGTAGGTTGTTAAATGTTGAAATTATGTTGTTTTATTGCCAGGATGAAAGATACACAGTAATATTGAGACCCCAGTCTTAGGACCCCTAATGTTCATAATATATATTAATGATATTGTAGATGATATTGCTAGTAATATTAGACGACACGTCTCTATACGTTATAATTGATGATCCTGACATAGCTGCAGACTGTTTAAATAAGGACTTATTAGGAATTTCAAATTGGGCCAAAGAATGGAAGGTTTCATTCAATCCTAACAAAACAAATTCAATACAGTTCAGTAGAAAACTAAATAGAAGCATTAAACCTGATCTTACAATGAACGGTGTGATAATCTAGACGTAGATAATCATAATCATCCAGGCTTGACCCTTCAAAATAACTTTTACTGGGATATCCACATAAACTCTATGAAAAGAAAGTTAGCCCACTGATTAAATGTTCAAGAAGTTTAAAATATCGATTATAAGTTTAGAAATTATCTACAAATCTTTCATCTTACCGACGACATATGCCAGATCATTTTTACCTGATACGATAAAACTATGGAATTCCTTAAGTTCTGAAATTCAAAATATTGATACTTTATCCCGATTCAAAAACTCGATATTAAGACAATATAACAAAACTATTATTTTTGATCTAAACTGATTTGATTTGAATGCTGATAGGTTTAGACATCATCGACAGCCCCTCGTGCCCATGTGGACATCCAGTCGAAAATGCTGTGCATTATTTCTTTACATGCAAAAAATACACGGAATTAAGACAAAAATCATATTTCTATTTAAAGGGGTTTAGTATCAACACTGTACTATGGGTATCAACACTGTACTATGTACATTGAATGTTAACAATTAATTGTTAATGTTCATCAATTAATCATGATGACAAATTATTGTTAATCCTTATTAAAATCTTGATGATGACAAATGATATCAACCTTCAATAAAATCATTCTCTCTATCTTTTAGTGAATGAATGAATTGTTTATTAACGTGTCACGCATAAAATTACAAGGTATACAGACAATAAATATACAAAGATAAAATAGATTATGCAGGGCCTCAATAGGCCGAAGAGACACGGTATAAAACTGTAAAATATAACTTATTTCAATATTTCAATTAGTTGTGTGTTGTTATGTCTCTTAAGTGGATTAGTCCATTGTATGGAATAGGTAACAGGCAGGGGATTAACAGTGCAACAGACCGTAAACTATGTTGTTATAAGCTGTAGGGGTAGTGGCATGTAGGGGTAATGGGGGGTTACCAAACAAACATGTCGTCTGAAACTGTTACGTTTGACCTCAGCGATTTCTTTGATATGGAGGAAAATATTGACCCAACCTGGTATGAAAGTCGAATCACACAATCACTGCATCTTCGTCTTTGATGTCTGGTCTTTTCAAAATTGACAACAGTCAGGTTGTCATAAATAACTACTTTCGGAACTAAGCAAAGCACTGACACGCATCCAGAACAGCACGTTCATTGGCACGCGCCAATGACGTCAGAACGAAGGTCAAACCAGACGAATCTATTTTTGAAGTTAGAGGGGTGTTCCTTATTACATAACTCATTCCATTAAAGTTGTCCATAACATAAGAAGTAGAATGCCAGTACAGATGTTGCAACTTGCAATGTATTTGAAGAAAACGTCGTTGTGGAAATAATTAAAACATTTGACACTATGTAAATTGTTTCTTTTTCCTGTTTCACCCCGAGTATGGGCGAAACCATTTAGAAGGCTCTATCCGCAGTAGTGTCAAAACACTACGCAAGGGTAATGAGTGCATATTTAAAACGCGTTTTATTCATGGTGCATATGTCATGGTAGAATGGAGATAATCCTATTGTGTTTACCTATTGTGTTTGTGCTAAATGTTTCATTTAAAACCTCAGGCTAACGCGTTCGGTTTTAAATGACATTTAGCAGCGTTCAACCAACTATAATCACTTCCAAAATGTAAACACAATAGGATTATCTCCTAATTTTCACTGATCCATTCATACAATTTCCGTTGCCATTTTGAAATGTGTTCCTTCGTAAAATCGAGCTTGTATTTTTTTGTAATTACAAAGAGAGAAGCCGTTTTGAATTTAGTATGACTTTATTTGACTATGTCCAATCACAGATGCACATACGTGCAGTCTGTAATGTTTGAGAAACAGACTGACAGATCCTTGATATGCATTTTAGTCATCACAAAATATCCAATCAAATGACGCATCTGGAATTATCTCAAACCCAATGGCCTCATGCATCTTGATAGACGCTACATTGACACGTTGTATCATGACAAACACCTCTTTCTTTTTGCAGATGTTTTAGAGCGAGCTGGGACATGGCCACCTTTCCGTACCCATTGCCTCGGTGTTCTTCCAGCACGTACAGCACCCCCAGACACCCGTAGTGATAGGTGAGGGCGTATCCTAGCAGCGCCCCCTCCCGGTTGTACAGACACGTGGAAGGAAGTGTGGTTATTAAGTGCTTGATGTAGGCTTCGGACACGTCTCCATTGCGTAGTACCCACCTGGAATTCACCTGACTAGCTTGATCTGCCGTTAGGCTGGACATGGTACAGCCCTCAGGAATGGGCCTTTAGGAAAAATGATTTTCATATATTTGCAAACTTCGAGTTATCCGTCCATCTAAATAATTATTGTAAACCACGGTAATAACGTACTCAAAGGGACCACTTCTTTAGTTCGTTATAACCACAGTTCGTTGTTCGTACTTTGATTAAAATATCCAGCAAGTGGCATGTAGCAGTGACGCCGTTCGTAATATCTGTCATTTCGGTACAAGCGTGTTCGTTATAAAACGGTTATGGCCCGGGAAAGCGAAATCTGGACCAAACCTCCTCAATTTAGGTGTCGCGGGATCGGTCTAGCTACAGTGAACACTGAATTTAGCGTTTAGCGTTCCCGGGACTCTCAATGCACAGGAAAAACAAAGAAACGTGAGTCGTCGTCTGATACCGTAGTCATGGTAGAAATTTAATAAATAAATAAATACGTTTAACATTAGCAAGCCATGGTGAAGCTTTACATATTATTTTCTAGCATTTGTGATAAAACATTGTGAATTATAACTGACATTTTATTTTGATGTACATTAGTAGCAAGTTAAACCAAACTGAAATTATTCACTTTTTAATATATACAGAGAAAGGAATTCGTCCAGTCTCTCCGTAGAGCATTTAGGATGGTGTACTCTTGCGTAGTTTCGGGACAGAATTCATGAATAAATAACCTGTGAACATTTTCTAAAATGTCTATATTTGAATCTTCCCACACCTCGCAACCATATAACATGATAGGTAGGATCATGCAGTCAAAACATCTACACAAACAATCGATAGGAATAAGGAGATTTCTAGCCTTTGAGGGGATAATAAACGCTACTTCTAATGTTTGGTCGTGGAGTGCCAGAAAGGTTGAGTTGAGTTGGGCTTTACGTCACATCGGCATTATTCCAGCCATATAGTGACGAAATCAAGTCTGCATTCATGAACATTTTAAATGAGTTTTATAGTAAAACATATTTATTCATGACATTGTTATTTAAAAACAGGAAATGTCATAGCACTAAATTCAAAAGCACGCATTTCGTTATTCACATTACATAGTTACAATTTATGATACAGATCACCTTCCCTCAGGTAGTTCACAATGAGATGACCGCTCACGCGGGAAAACAGATATCGGTGGCACATGAGTATAACAAAGGAGTACATAGAAAATGTACAACAAGATGACTAAATGACACGTCAATTAAAGTGTTTACAAACAATCTTAATGAACTTGGATACATTTTGAGAGGATATTTTCCTTGAAAAAAAGTTGACGGAACTTTGACAAATTCGGCCAGGAACATTAAGATTCTTTTAACAATGATCATAATTCATTACATGAATTAATAAAGCTATAATTAAGTAGGGTCACGTACGTGCTGAAACTTGCAACAACTGAAACTGTATCTCAGTTAGCGGCTCACAGAACGAGTTTTGGGGTCGCGCGCTAATCTGAAGTACGGTAATCCGATGTTTTCATAGCAATTCGCTTTCGCGGCACTTCTAGCACAACTTTGGTTTTCGCTTTACCGGGAATAGGGAATATTGAAATTTCGCTTTCCCGGGCCGACACCTATAGAACGAAGTTTACTATAGATCTAAATTTAAAGACGTTATAATTTAATGTTGACAATTTTATCTCTGAAACTTCATTATGAAGACAGATTCACCATTTAGCATATCACGATTTGTAATGAAGACTGTGATATATCAGGATTGTCAACAATATGTTTTAAGTTGTTTTTTAATAAAGTAGCAAAAGTGTTTGTACGTTTGTCTAGATGATCTTTGGTATAAATGTACCTGAGTTTCAGTGTATCGTGCGTGACCCTCATTAACGTACAGTCAGTGTGGAGAAATGTGGGTACCCGGTAGAGTTGAATCACTTCTGACAGAACTGGCACTAGACGTCGTTCCACACCTGATAAGAGAAAGCAGGTTTCATGTGAGAGGCCGGATGTATGAGTGAGTGAGTTTGATTTTATGCCGCTTTTAGCAATATTCCAGCAATATCACGGCGGGGGACACCAGAAATGGGCTTCACACATTTTGCCCATGTGGAGAATCGAACCCGGGTCTTCGGCGTGACGAGCGAACGCTTTAACCACTAGGCTACCCCACCGCCCCCCGGATGTATGAACGTCACTGTGAAGTGCAATGATCTTGATCGCGATGTTCACCTTGCTTTAAGATTTCCTGTCCCCGGCTGCGTTGAGGGTTGTTTGTTGGTTGGTTAATGCTTATTCAGCAATATTCCAGATATATGGCGGCGGTCTGTAAATAATCTAGTTTGGACCAAGCATTGGCAAGCAATCCAGTGATCAACAGCATGAGAATCGATGTACGCAATTGGCATACGATGACGTGTGTCAACCAAGTCAGCGAGCCTGACCACCTGATCCCGTTAGTCGCCTCTTACGGGTTGCTGGAGACCAACTCTGACCCGGATCTTCACGGGTCGCAATGAAGTGAAATGTAACGACAAACGATATGGCTATATGCCTTACATTCAAATCGTATCCCCTTGGACCAGTCCAGGTTGTGTAGAAGGCCTCTCAGTGCTTCGTCGTCAGTAGCGTACAGGTTCACAAGCGGCTCTAGATACTTCAGCTGTTGACAGTCATATGTTACAAACCATTTACCCCTCAATGGAAATATCAGAACCTTTGTCACAGCTAATGACACAGCTAGAGGAAGTCGTGTAATTGTGAAATGACAAAAATAACAATTTACAGGTGTAGGGAAATTATTCAATTGTAAATTTATTTCATATAGCTAAACTGTCATGCACAGGTATCTAGGAATAAAGGCGGTGTAGGATAGAAATTACACATAGTTTAACCATGTTATAAGTTATACATGTTATGGTTACGCTGACAAAACCGTGAAATACCTGCAAGTCATTATCCTTCGCACGAACAACCATCGCCCTGCAATCCGGCCATCTGTCCACAACGAATTCGTAATCTGTTATACGGTGTTCCAGTGCGGCTTCCACTTCTCCCATAATCTGAAACGAGAACGGGACAAAAGACTCAAGACATCTTCTCTGTATAAACCATACTCTCCCTCGGCATCGACGTCTTTGACGAAGACTTGTTCATGTTACAATCCGGTATCTTTCACAGTTATTAGGACTTGATACTGACAACAGATCATGCAAAGCGCTATAGCCGGGTGAGCTAATACATCAACGTCACCTTAATCCACCTGTGAGATGTCTTGAGTACCTCCAGCATTTGTGTCAGCTGAGTTTCAACGAGTTTAACCGCCATTTTAGTTGAAGTGATCTTGAGTGACTTGGTCTCTCTTCGTAACGCGCATGTGAGGTATCCTTCCTTATTTATATATGTGCATACTGTTGTCCTCATTTCTCCCTGTTCATTGGCTCACACTCAGCGTTTATGGGACATTATTTGTTTACGGAGATCGGTGACAATGGAGATGCAGATATATGCAGAGAAAATTGATAAAACCCAAAAAGGAGCTCAGAACAGAATGTCAGCCTTGAGTTGAGGCAATATATATTTGCCAAATTACTCTAGACTTGAGTTGGCCTCCTTTTCGAATTTATTTTCCAGTGTCTGGAGGAAAACTACCTTTTACCTAGTGCATTTGAAAGAAAACGTCGGTACATTTCACCGACTGACTGACTGACTGAGTATAGCTTTACGCCGCTTTTAGCAATTTTCCAGCAATAACACGGCGGGGGATACCAGAAACTCGCTTCACACATTGTACCCATGTGGGGAATATAGTATCAATGTAAATATAGTATCAATGTGTTAATATAGATCAATGTACATATAGTATCAATGTGTTAATATAGCATCAATGTATTAATATAGTATCAATATGTTAATGTAGAATCAATGTGTTAATATATTATCAATTGTTAATATAGTATCAATGTGTTAATATAGTATCAATGTTAATATAATATCAATATGTTAATATAGTGTCAATGTTAATATAGTATCAGTATGTTAATATAGTATCAATGTGTTAATATAGTATCAATGTTAATATAATATGAATATGTTAATATGGTATCAATGTTAATAGTGTCAGTGTGTTAATTTAATATCCAAATGTTAATATAGTATCAATATGTTAATACAGTATCAATAAGTAAATATAGTATCGATATGTAAATATAGTATCAATAATTAGCCATATCTAATGGACTTATCCAAACCTCAATTTAACTTCCTTTCTTGGTAAATTGACCCCAAGGAATAAACAAAATGGCAAATCTAAAGGCAAAAGGCACGAAAAATTGTAGTTTATTCAGAGAAGCTAACATGGCAAACCATTGACTCGCTTTGTAGTGTGGGGTGGGTGTATGACGTTAATAAGTTCGGTCAGGTTTAAGGTTATGACATAAAATCCTCAAGAAACACAATCCGAGCAGAATGTCAACATCTGTAACCTCCAGCAACTGCAACAACATCCTCACCGATGGCAACAGACGTTTGATCACCTTTGACCGTAGCACCTACGTGTTTAAAGTCAATGAAGTCAAAGTCCAAATAATCATATAAAAAACTAGTGATGATATGAATATATATGGCTATACGAGAGTAAAGATCATAAGTGTTGCGATACTTTTTTCCATGTGAATATCCGAAATAAAACTGTAATAATTTTGTTTGTATTGATCACGTCACATTTTAGCTCCCTTGCACTTGGAGAAGATATCGGGCTTTTCTCTCTCATAGTTGAATAATTTTCAAGAATTTTTGTCAAGGCTTTATTGCTTCTAACAAACGATCATAGTTTCAAATCGTTATTATTGGTTTGTATTACAAGGGGGTATGTACTTGAATGAAATGAAACACCGAGAACAAGTAGGGTTGGTCTGAGTTAACGCTCATCACCTACCGCACGTACATTTGTTTCACTGTTCCGTCTACTGCCCTTACCCCTTGTAATACAAACCAATAATAGCGATTTGAATCTATGATCGTTTGTTAAACAACTTTTATCCTAAGTTGAATAAAATTCTGAGATTTAAATGTTCATTTGGCAAGGTAAAATTATGAGGATTCGCAATCTTACTTTCACTTAATTTGATTTACTTTTTTGTTTAAAGTGATATTCATCGGTACGTTTTCACTGCAAACAGACTATATATAGATAGGTTTATTGTTTCAAGCGCAGACCACTCAGCTACATTGCACACAAAAAGGTTGATTTATTCAACACTGCACTCGGACTGTGACTGACATCAAGCGCGTTGATCTACGGTCGCTCCCTGAGTTGCACCAGAACAGGCGGGGAGCGATTAAATGCGTTATATATTTTTAATCACACAGAGAGAGAGAAAATTTTTGTTTATTAAAGTGTCACGTGCTTTTGCAATAAAATACAGTACATTACATTAAAGACATACATTAAACACAAAAAGCACCCGGACATTTGGCCTATGAGACACTACAATCACAAGTATTATCACAGTAATACAATAAAATAAGAGAATACAAATAAAACACACCAGTACATACATTCCAGATTAATAACATGATATTTTAATCACACAAAAGGTATAAAAGGCACTTGACCATATTGACGTAAACGTGCACACTCACATTCAAACACGCAATTATGCAGTCACTCAACCCCTCACGCAATCCTGCATTCACACACATCGTACAATCACGCACTCACATACACAATCACAGGCTTACACTATGACATTCTCGCACAAACATGTACACGTACATACGCAATAACGTACTCACGCGCACATACATACATACATACACACTGACACACACACACACTGACACACTGACACACACACACACATACATACATACATACATACATACATACATACATACATACATACATACATACATACATACATACATACATACATACATACATACATACATACATACATACATACATACATACATACATACATACATACACCGAGGAAAAAGCGACAGGCTCGATTCTGAATTACATTGATAACTCTGTGTTCGTAAAGCCCCCAAATACCCACTCCATATGTGAGGATAGGCTGTACTAATTGTAGAGGGTTGTAAATACATCGTAAGCCATTCCACCTGCATCACAAAACTTAGTGCAGAGAGCACTCAGAGCTCTACCTGCCGATTTCGCTAGTTGATTCACAGCAATTTTAGAATCCAAATGTTCATCAAACCATAGGCCGAGGTACTTGTAGTGCTCCGTGTAATGCAATGGGATATCGCCACAAGAAAACTGGACCTGAGAGCAATTTCGCGATAGGGGACTAAAATTAACGATTTTAGACTTTTCACCATTTAACTCCAATCTCCGTTTGAGACACCATTTATGAACTTCAACTTGCCGGTGTGTTTGTTTCGCTTACGAGTATTAGGTTTCGATTTCATGGGGCAAGCAACATCAAGGGTTTTAGTGACAAAAGAAACAAATTCGTCGTAGGCTGAGTTGATATCGTGCTGTGTAGAGAGACTGTGTTCAATACGTTCTATGGCAGCCACAACAGCCTCGGAGTCACCGTCTTGTAGGAAGTCACCCGGCATATCCTTCACATTGAATCGCCGTAAATGCCCCCCCTTATGTTGTGGCCCCTTGTCTTTCTCAGTGTCCCCAAATCCAGATACATCTCCTACCCATTCTAAAATGGAATGATCAGGTATTGCGTGGGGTGTTGCTAATTGTCTTTCATTTATCACGTCACTCATGCAGGGCACAGAAAAATCTGTATATAGAGGCAACTGCTCCTGAGGCACAAACACATAGTCAATAACTGACTTACCACGAGTTGACACGTACGTAAAATCATTTTTGCAGATACGGCCGTTTAACATGCACATATTGCAATCTACAAGGAAGTCTATCATCTCCTGTCATAGTTTCCTGGTTCATAGACGGTTGTTTAGTGACAGCAATGTTTACTAAAAAGGTTCGATTATATCGATATTTAGACAAATATTATACGACTCACTCGATCAGGGTTGGAAACTCGGTACCGAGATGAGGGTATTGGTTTGAGCTACGTCCGTCCGTCCGAGATGATGGGGACATTTTCTGAAAAAAAACAACGTTTTAGATAGGGAAATCAAATTTGGTACGTGTTTTCATGGCACGAATGCCTTGATGGAGTTCGAAAAACGGAAACCGTGTTACAATGTAACTTTCAAACTTCTGGCCCTTGTCATGCGCGAGATTAGATCCGGCAAATATCAAGTTTCAGTTTGATATTAGTTTGAATATTTGTTAATTATGTGACTCCGTATGTAATAATACGTTTTCTATACTTCAGCTCTTCCCGAGAATTGCGTTATCCTAAATATTTGGATTAAATTCCAACGGTCATCATTGTGATAGCCACGTGTTTGGCCAATACAGCTGTACATGATGCCAATACAGCTGACCAAACCCTTTTCCATATTCACAAGACGTCTCTACCAAACGCCGAGTCGCCTGTACCACATAGTTACATTAAACAGTCCGGGAAATTGGGCATGCCTAGAATTGTTAATTTGGACAAGGCATTAAACAATCCACATGCATAGAAGTGTTCCACGTAGCGTTGACGGCAGTGTGTCAACCTCAGACCTGTTATATAGCACGAGTGAACGATGAAATCAGAGAAATAGAACAACGTCCGTCAAGAAGAGGGAGGTGCTTGATAACATAGTTTTCTCGTTATACATTCGATATAAACGACGTTATTGGACGGAAAAGGTGGTTGCCTCCCCAAAATATCGTTATTTTGTCCAGCAGACGGAAATACACGTGAGCGACAATCGATCATCAGAAAAGTCAACGTAGTCTAGAATCATTATCACACACTTAGAAAATTTACACGCACCAATGGAATGTGGAGTAGCCTAGTGGTTAATGCGTTCACTCGTCACGCCGAAGACCCGGGTTCGATTCCCACATGGGTACAATGTGTGAAGCCCATATTGAATATTGCTAAAAACGGAGAAACCATACTCACTCACTCACTCACTCACTACCAGTACTAATCTAAATGAACAAGCCATGGCACCTGATCCACATGGTCCATCAGTTCGATCTAACACCCGGTAGTCCGTCCTTCAGCAAGTTCTTCTTCTTCAGAGGTCTCTTCTCTCCACACAGAACCTGGACAAGTAACATAACAGTCCATTTGTATAGCGCTAGTTCCATGCTCAAAACAGTTGAGTGAGTGAGTATGGGTTTACGCCGCTTTTAGCAATATTCCAGCAGTATCATGGCGGAGGACACCACAAATGAGCTTCACACATTGTGCCCATGTGGGGAATCGAACCCGGGTGTTCGGCGTGACGAGCGAACGCTTTAACCACTAGGCTACCCACCGTCCCTCAACAGTTGAGAGAGAAGATTCAGGAAAGAAGGCTTGTCTGAAAAATGGGTTTTAAGGCTCGTTTGAAAGTTGATAGAGTTCCTTAGAGTGAGTGAGTGAGGGAGAGAGTTCCAACATGAGGCGGCGGCAAAGGCAAATGCACGTTGACCATAAGTTGTCGTTCTGACTTTAGGCACACTGAGGAGTTGCTTTGATTCAGAGCGCAGGGAACGGCTAACGAGATAGTGGTTGAGTAAGTCCGAGAGATAGGAAGGAGCTTGATTGTTGAGACACTTATAGGTTAGGCAAAGGATCTTGAATGTGATTCTGTGAGAGACTGTAAGTCAGTGTAGATCCCTTAGAATTGGTGTTATATGGTCTCGTTTCTGACCTTTTGAGATGATTCTGGCGGCAGTGTTCTGCACTCGCTGGAGCATGTTTGTCAGGGACAGAGGAGCACCAAAAGTTGTCTTGGTCATACCCTGTTCCCGTCTGGTGAAGCCGACAAAGTCATACACGTTGGGATGTGATTATATATCATGACACGTTCCCCGGCCTGTCAAAACATTGCTGTTCGCTGACGTTGATCACTGGATTGTCTGGTCGCGATGTGATTATTTACAGACAGCTGCCATATAGCTGTAATATTGCTGAGTGCGGCGTTAAACAAACAAAACTTTGCTAACGTCTTGCCAAAACAGCCGTCCACTTCAAAGCGATACCGCAAGTCGTTTTGGTGACACTCTGAAATGTATACTTAGCGTAATTAATAAAGGGTCAAATGATATATAGCGCATGTAAAGAAACGTTTCTCAGAAATAAAAGCACTAAAAGTGTCATAATAATGTTTAATGTGCTGACAAACGTGACACATCGTGACATACAGACAAAACGTTCAAACAGCACTGGCAAACATCAGTTGAATAGGCCCCCAAAATTAAAATGACAAACATGAATCACTTGGTCATTCAATATCGTGTGTACCCTCCTCGCGCGTCCAAGACACAGGTACACCCTGTCTTCATGTTCCTTATCAAGGTCATAAAGAAAGCTTGCGGAATCTCATACTATTCCTCTACTAGAGCTCTGCGGAGTCATCGGAGTCATCATTGAGAGCTCCACTGGTGCTGGGTGACATGTGTACTCACGCCGACCGAGTTCATCCCAGGCATTCTCAATTGGTTTGAGGTCTGGCAAGCATGCTGGCCACTCCAAGGAATACTGTGACAATCCGGGCCGTATGAGGCCTAGCGTTGTCCTCTTGCAGTAAAGAGGGTCGACCATAAAAGCCATGAATAGCTTACAGGAATCGTACTGCTATAGGAGCCAGAATCTCGTTGTCAGGTAAGATTACCGCCGACCACGTGCAGTGGAGTACGTTCAGTAGGAGTTGTCCCTGCCCAAGCCATGCCCTTAAACGTCGACGAACGGTGCTCCTGGATATCCTTACATTGTTAACATTGAAGTGTGTTCTGTCTGAAGATCTGCTGCTGCCACAGTCTACCAATAGCACTCTGGTTCACATTAAAGCGGACAGTAACCTGCCGCTGAGTTTGACTAGATTTCAAAAGGCCTATAAGCCTGCCCCCTTTCAGCAAGTGTCAAAAACGTCTCATTTTAGGCTGCGATTTCAAACAGGTACCTGAACAGTGAACGACAGTGAAAAAGCATCAATGCATGTGTATTGTCCTCCACTAGCCATAGATAGAGCGACTTGGACGTGCATTAAGTGGCAGGTGGAGTTCCATATTGTCAATTTGAATAAAAAATGTGCCATTTATAACAGAATGTATCGGACGTTAAAGAACGTAATAATGTCATTTCAACGGCCTGATGTGTTTTTCCATAAAGTTTGTAAAACATTCAGTTGTATATATTTCAAAGAAAAACGAAAATTTTACAACTTTTAAGAAATAGTGTTACCAATAGCTTGACCCTTCATTAAGAACGCCGAGTATACTTTTTTATTCAAGGAGTGGCTGTCGTGAGACGCCGCAGAAATAACGTGTAAAAGACGATGTTATCGTATTTCCAGTGTTAAATGCCCCACCGATCTGAAGATGATCAGCTGTGATCGTAACGTAACGTCGGCAAGATAAACATATCAGTCAGTTGAAATAGTCACCTGTAAATAGTCACCTATAAACTCTGATTGTGAGGCAATGTACAGAGAGAAATGAGGACAAGGATAACGGCAGACAATTATGTAAATAAGAAAGGATGCCTCACATGCGCGTTACGAAGAGAGACCTAGTCACTCAAGATCATGTAACCAAAATGGCGGTTAAACTCGTTGAAGCTCAGCTGACACAAATGCTGGAGGTACTCAAGACATCTCACAGGTGGATTAAGGTGACGTTGATGTATTTGCTTCCCCGGTCACATAAACAAGAGGTCGATACCGAGGGAGAGTATGGTTTAAACAGAGATGACGACTTGAGTCTTTTGCCCCGTTCTCGTTTCAGATTGTGGGAGAAGTGGAAGCCGCACTGGAACACCGTATCATAGATTACGAATTCGTTGTGGACAGATGGCCGGATTGCAGGGCGATGGTCGTTCGGGCGAAAGACAATGACATTCAGGTATTTCACGTTTTTGTCAGTGTAAAAATAACATGTTTAACTTATAACAAGGCTAAACTATGTTTAATTTCTATCCTACATTGCCTCTGTTCCTCTGTACCTGTCCATGACAGTTTAGCTAATCGCAGGTAAGTTGATAAATAAATTACATAACTTCCACACACCTCTAAATTGTTATGTTGTCATTTCACAATTAGCCCCCCTTGTGTTGATTCATGAAGGGGTTCTATTTTTACAATACAACAGAAACTTTCCAAATAATTCAAGATACACTCGCTATGATAAAGGTTCTGATATTTCCATAGGGGTAAATTGTTTATAACATATGACTGTCAACAGCTGAAGTATCTAGAGCCGCTTGTGAACCTGTACGCTACTGACGACGAAGCACTGAGAGGCCTTCTACACAATCTGGACTGGTCCAAGGGGAAACGATTTGAATGTAAGGCATATCACCATATCGTTTGTGTTTACATTTCACTTCATTGGGACCCGTAAAGATCCGGGTTAGAGTTGGTCTTCGGCATGTCTTGGTTGGTTGACACACTTCATCGTATATCAATTGCGTAAATCGATCCTCATGCTGTTGATCACTCGATTGTCTGATCCAGACTCGGTTATTTACAGACCGCCACCATATAGCTGGAATATTTTTGTGTGGCGTTCAAAAACAAACAAACAAGCAAACACTCAACGCAGACTGAAAATCTTGAGGCAATGCAATCCAGATTATTGCACTTGTACAGTGGCGTGCATGCATCAGGGCTCTTACATTAAACCTGCTTTCACTTTATCAGGTGTGGACCGACGTCTAGTGCCAGTTCTGTCAGAAGTGATTCAACTCTACCGGGTACCCACCTTTGTCCTAGGTGACTATATATTAATGAGGGTCACGCAAGATACACTGAAACTCAGGTACATTTATACCAAAGATCATTTGGGCTTGGTAGACACACAAACACTTTTGCTACTATAAAAAAATATATCTTAAAACATATTGTTGACAATCCTGGGGCGGTGGGGTAGCCTAATGGGTAAATATTGCTAAAAGCGGCGTAAAATCAAACTCAGTCAGTCAGTTGACAATCCTGATATATCACAGGGATCATTACAAATCGTGACTTGGTAAATGGTGAATATGTCTTCATAATGATATTTGAGAGATTAATTTGTCAACATTAAAACTCATAATTTATACGAATTGTTTCATTGCTACCTGCCACTTGTTGTATATTTTAGTTGAAGTACAAAGAACGAACTGTGGTTATAACGAACTAAAGAAGTGGTCCCTTCGTTGTAACCGTAGTGTACTATATGTAGATACGTCAAACGCCGTTTTGTTCATCTTTGATATGTCGATATAACTGTTGTTTCGAAGTAATAGCCTGGTCCCTGTCTGTCCCTTTTGTCGGTTGTGTCGATAGGTTCGAGATAATTCGGATAACTCGAAGTTTGATATATGATAATAATTGTTCTCAAAGGCCCATTCCTGAAGGCTGTACCATGTCCAGCCTGACGACAGACCAAGCTACTCAGGTGAATTCCAGGTGGAAACTACGCAATGGAGACGTGTCCGAAGCCTACATCAAGCACTTAATAACCACACTTCCTTCCACGTGTCTGTACAGCCGGGAGGGGGCGCTGCTAGGATACGCCCTCACCTATCACTACGGGTGTCTGGGGGTGCTGTACGTGCTGGAAGAACACCGAGGCAATGGGTACGGAAAGGTGGCCATGTCCCAGCTCGCTCTAAAACATCTGCAAAAAAAGAACAAAGAGGTGTTTGTCATGATACAACGTGTCAATACAGCGTCTATCAAGATGCATGAAGCCATTGGGTTTGAGGTTATTCCAGATACGTCATTTGATTGGATATTATGTGATGACTAAAATGCATATCAAGGATCTGTCAGTCTGTTTCTCAAACATTACAGACTGCACGTATGTGCATCTGTGATTGGAGAGAGTCAAATAAAGACATACTAAATTCAAAACGGCTTATCTGTTTGTAAATATAGAATAAAGAATCTCAGTTATCCGACGGAACAGATTTCAAAATAGCTATGGAAATTGTATGAAGGGATCAGTGACAATCAGCCATGACACCGGGTGTTAGCTAAAAGGGCAATCATGCCCTGTCCTGTCGATGTAATTGTTAAGTACGTATTATACTGTGGAATATATTGGACATATGTACATGAGAAATGGAGGACAGGAAATATTTGATTCTTCTTCATCTTCACACTTACTGCTTCAGAATCCATGGTTACTGTCAAGTTGTCAGGTAAAATCAAAGAGGAAGCCATCAGCAATAGGCACATATGACGTCATGTCACGTGATACCCGCTTCTGCTCCCTCCTTTTCGCACTCAGACTCTCCCTCCCATACTCACTCACTCGTGATATGAAGAACTCAGGTACCACGGTAACATTCCTGTTTCACTTCAACCAGGGACTTGCATTATAAAACATGGAGCTCACCATGTCACATTAAATACTGAATTTGCAATTTACATAAACTAAGTTGTCAGAAATAGGATTGTCAAATTGTGTGATATTTGTAAATATTGCCAGTTAAAACATACTGGGTACAAGGTATGTCATGCATTGATTTTAGCCAGATCTGACGGCGTGGCATTATAACATTTCAAATGACATAGAAAAATAGCATAAAACAAATTCGGATTAAACATTTGACACCAACGTTGGTCAACAAATTAAAATTAAGCTATCCTATTTAAATTCCAAAATTTTAGGCAAGTAATGGTTATGTGTTCTAAATTTGAGGATAGAGAATTTTATGAAAGGTGATGGTTTGACGTAAGAGAAGACATGAACACTTGCAAGATTATTAGAGACTGGCATACAATTTTTGTTTCCATCGTTTACTTTCAGGTCATATGCATGTATGACAGACAATTCAGGTCAATAGTTCACAGATCATAGTATCAAGTTTAAGAGAAGTTATGTTGCAAATGAGGAAGGTGAATCACTGAGTCAGTGGTCGCCATGGTTACCAGACCATTTCGATTTTCATATAAACATGGCTTCCTCAGAACCAAGCAATATCAGAAACCGCCGATCTCTTATGATATCTCTCTGCACTCAGTTCAAATTGTTCAAGTTTCAGTTTGATATTAGTTTCAACATTTGTTAATTATGTGACACTGTAAGTATTAATACGTTTTCTATACCTCAGCCGTTCCTGAGAATGCGTTGACCTAAATATTTTTAATAAAATTCTAACGGTCAACATTGTGACAGCCACGTGTTTGGTCAAGTACGTGATGCCAATACAAAGCCCTTTTTCATACTCATACAACATGTCTGCCAAGCGCCGAGTCGCCTGTACGGTTTCGACCACATAGTTACAGTTAACAATCCGCGAAATTGCGCATGCCTAGAATGATTAATTTGGACAAGTCATTAAACCATCCGCATGCGTAGAAGTGTTCCACTTAGCGCTAAGAGCAGTGTGTCGAACTCAGACCTAATTTTGATAACTGTCGTTGAAGCTAATTTTTTTACAGACACCAATAACCAGGGGCTAGATTTTCGAAGCTCTCTTAGCACTAAGATAGTCGTAAGTCTGTGTTAATGTATGGCACTTACGACTATCTTAGCGCTAAGAGAGCTTCGAAAATCTTGGCCCAGGAGTCAGTGAGTGAGTTTAGTTTTATGCCGCACTCGGCAATAATCCAGCTATATGGCGACGGTCTGTAAATAATTGAGTCTGGACCAGACAATCCAGTGATCAACAGCATGAGCATCGATTTACATAGTTGGGATGCGACGACACGTGTCAACCAAGTCACCGAGCCTGACCACCCAATCCCGTAAGTCGCCTCTTACGACAAGCATGAGTTATTGAAGATCAATTCTAACCAGCATCTTCACGGGTTTCAATAACCAGGAACGAGGTTTTACTCCCAAAGTAGAACCTGGGAAGAGGTTTAACTGGAGTAGAGTAAAGCTAAGTTTCCATGTGTATACGTATTGTCTGTGTAACTGCGTGATGCGTTGTGTTTAGTGCGTATTACGTGTGCGTAGTGTCCAATTCCATGTGTACGTATTGTCTTCGTAATTACGTGATGCGTTGTGCGTAGTGCGTATGACGTGTGCGTAGTGTCCAATTCCATATGTACGTATTGTCTGCGTAATTACGTGATGCGTTGTGCGTAGTGCGTATGACGTGTGCCAATCCCATGTGTACGTGTCGTATGACGTGCGCGTTGTCCACCATGTACGTACGTTGTGCGTATGACGTGTGCGTAGTGTCCAATCCCATGTGTACGTATTGTCTGCGTAATTACGTGAAGCGTTGTGCGTATGACGTGTGCGTAGTGTCCAATTCCATGTGTACGTATTATCTGCGTATTTACGTGATGCGTTGTGCGTATTGCGTATGACGTGTGCGTAGTGTCCAATTCCATGTGTACGTGTATAAAGGCTATGTGATGTGTAAGATCAGGTCTTTTTGTTCCTGGAGATCGTACCGATCCCAATTGCTGTCAACAATACCACCTTGTTTCCCCCAAAAACGCCAGAGAACTAACATACATAACAGAGGATGAAGAGAATGTGGTTATTGCAAGGCATCTGTGGTGGGTGCATGAACTCCTGAAACAAAGAAGGACATTGTGGGCCTTCCTGGATTCATTGCAGAAGGCTGGATTGCATTTAACGACTTCAGTTAATTGTTCAAGAAGTATCTCGGGTTCCGAAATCCTTGGCATTTTGCAGATTGTGCGTGCAATGAAAACCATGTGACATTGGGGATCCCCTTGTGAATTGCTTGATGCGTATTCGGGCACTTTTTGAGCGTAAGCAAAATCATGCACTACGTATCACTCAGCACGCATCACGCGTGCACGGAAACGACTACAGTACTGTCGGAAATAGAAAAAAACTGTTTTCAGGCTATTACTCTGTATCCCTAAATTTTTCACAATTGCAAATAGCATTGTCGAAATAACCCACATCGGCCTAACTGGGCGTTCAGTGGGATGCGTAATAGGATATCCAGAAAAGCATGTTTACTCGTAAAATCGGGCAAAACTTAGAAAAAATACGAATAGCTGCTTTCCCAGTTTAATTCCCCTGAAGGATCATCTTATGTTAGCTGATATCTCTATACCCCAGCCCGACCCCAAACCACCGTCTCCGACACCCGTCCTTGTTTGGCTTTTGAGACGACCCCTCCTGCCTGTTTCTTTTTATAGTGATAGTGAGACTCCATGGTAGCTACATCCTTAATAGTTTCAGTATTAAAGTTATTATATTTTTACGTTAGCTATCGGTTATAATGGAGCTAAGTCTAATTTCAAAATGGGTATTTAAAAAGTGCCCTTTGTAATACAATATCATCGCCCTCTAATTTGCATAAAGCCATGGTCTGTTCCAAATAAGTCGATTTGGACTTAGAAAAAACCGCATTGCTCATTTCTGCACTAATCTCTCCTGAGTAAAGTCCAGTTTTTACGTTTTCTATCTCCCTACCACTGAGACTATAGTTAGGCCGAACCTAGTTTAACAGATATTTCACACTTTCACATATTATCTACATAAATTGTGGATGTAAATGTGAAATAACAGGTTTTTTTCTATTTCCGACAGTACTACATTCTTCTTCCCACACAGGTTACTCCTGTCATATCTTCCTACGTAACCTCTGTTCTAATACGGCCCTTTCATGGTGTCAGCGTTCAAGACTCGTGATTGGAGGCAATCAGATTTAGTTGTGCAATCAGCGACGTTGTTTCAAAAGTGATCATTCGCAAGGCCTCGGTAATTTCCGTATGCTTCGAGAAAACTAAACCTCTTCCCCTGCGCGATGCGCAAACGTTTCTTCTAGACAGAACTCAGTCATGTTACGGCGGATCAGTGGCGTCTCCATCGCCCTCGTTGACAACGGACAAGCCAGCCATTAAACGTCTTGTGTGTAATATCAACACAAGTCCCCGGCAGATGGGGGATATTTGTGGCCCCACATTTGCTTGTGTTAGTCAAGTTGAATCTAAGTCGATGTAACACGTGTTCTGATTGGATAGAAAGAAGGGAGATAATTCGTGTTGCGATCTTTTGCCGCTAGGGGATTTTACGAGAACCGGGAAATATGGCCGTATTAGAACAGAGGTTCGTAGGAAGATATGACAAGTAACCTCTGTGGGAAGAGAATGACAGTACTATAGTACTATTGTTTACGCACTACGCGCACATGGAAACCCGGCTTGAAACTCCCTCCCAGGCTTCACTGGGAATGAACCCTCGTTCCAAAATAACCTAGTATGCATGATATACTTTGTATACCACTAAACGAAAAAGCAAACATTTCAAATTTCTTTAAATGGAAAGTAAAGGTCATTGTGACATTGTGTTGTGCTTGATTCTGATTCAGGAGGGGGACAGTCAAAGCGATGGCTTTCTTTGTGTTTTCTTCGCTTTTTTGGAACTTTGCAGCCCAGCACATATGATGCCATTTCCTTTTGTTCGTCACTTGTCCTTTTGTAGAACCTCACTGCATCATTCCTGTGTCCTAGAATTAAAGCATTTCAGTTTAATATATATTTCGGTAAACATTTGTGCAAGAAACAAAATAAACGTACTTCTAAGAGGTGCAAGTTTTTCCGTATCTAAACTTCATTTGACAGCCATAAAATTAAAATCAGTAATTTGAATATTTCATACTTTTCAGAATGTAACTTCAGCTCCTAATTCCACATTAATTTCTACTAACGGGATCGGGTGGTCAGGCTCGCTGACTTGGTTGACACATGTCATCGTATCCCAATTGCGTACATCGATGCTCATGCTGTTGATCACTGGATTGTCTGGTCCAGACTCCATTATTTACAGACCGCCGTCATATAGCTGGAATATTGCTGAGTGCG